CAACAGAACAAACCGGTTTTCCCTGTTGTCAGATACTTTTAAGGTCACACTGAATTTGCCCTCCAGATTTCCTCCTAAAGGTACATGTAAATGTCATCCTGTAAATCCCAGTTACCAAACCAACCACAGAAATCAGTCTTTTGAATTATGTCGTCACTACCAGTGCGTGTCAGCTTCAGCAGTTGTCTGGCTCATTTTTGCATATGCAGATTGTTCAAGGCAATCTACAGGTACGAAGAGCCCAGGTAGTCGTTGTATTGGATCGCATTAGATTATGAAGGTGTTCCATTTGCTTGTTATATGAACATTTATGAAAGTGCTGAACAAATAATGTTTATTATTAGTGTCGTTAATGTCAGTTTTCACTTTCTTTTTCACAGTGGCCAGGGGAGCTTGCTGCTGCCTTTCATTTACTACCGATTCCTCACCCTGCGCTACACATCCAGAAGAAACCCATACTGCCGGTGAGATGTTGAATAATACAATATTGTCACAAAGCACATGGATTTCTGCAAATGATAAAAATACGAGTCATGACTGCAGGAGCAGGGGGGGAGAAATCATGAAACATTCTGTGTAATTCTCAACGGTTTTCAGTGCTGCATACCTTGAATATTCATCATTTTCATGAAAGATTGATGTTAGATTATTTTATTGCAAACCAAAATTAAAATACCAAAAAGAAGGTCAAGTTTTTAGCTGTGGAAATGTCTCTACCTGTAGAGTGTGGTCAATTTCCAGTTTTGCCACTCAGGTCTGGTCCAGTAGCTTACCCCAGGTTGATGTCATACACATTGGCTGAACCGGTATTTGTCACTGTGACACATCCTGGCATATAGAGATGTAGCTTACATCAGCAACCTGTGCTGACAGTGTCTAAATTTCAGTAGAGGTGGAAGGGGGAGGAGTGGTGCATGTTGTGTTTGTTTTCTGGAACGTTAAGATAGAACGTTTTTTTGGGTGGCAATATTATTTTACTTAATCGGGTAAGTCCCACTGAGATCAATGATCTCTTTTACAAAGGAAACCTGGCCAAGACAGCAGCACACAAGACATTACCGCCAAACAACCACACAATAAAAAAACATAAAATATACACAGTAAGATGTAGAAATATTAGGACACTTACGCACAATGACAAGAACTAACCGACTCATTCATCCTTGTGCTTATGAGAGCTTTAAAATCAGGCAGAGAGACCAACTCATGTAGTTTCAAATCTTTTTGAGTGGAGAGGAGCAGAGAACATGAAAGCTTTCTTTCCCAGCTCAGTCCGAGCACCAAGAACAGACAACAAAACTAAATCTTGAGATCGCAGAATGTAGCTACAGTCAGATCTCTGTTCAATCAAAGTACAAATGTACGAAGGGAGTTCACCCAATATGGCTTTATAAATGAGAAAATACTAGTGACTGAGCCTACGAGAGGTCAAAGAAGGTCAACCAGCCCTGGAATAAAGACTACAGTGTGACAAGATGAGACATGGCAGAGCTAGTCTCTCAAGAAAACTACAACTGCACTAGTATGGCAACATTTTGGATTTGAAGCCAATGAAAGGTGTCCTAACCTGCTGTGAGCGACACAGTGTGCCGTTTTGAGCTGAGCTTTTGTTGGACGCCACATTCCTTTCGCTCCCTTTGAGTGGAGGAGGAACGGCTGATTCATGGGGTTGAAATTAGGAAATATCTCTATGATACCTTCTTATTTCACTACAAAACCCAAGTAGGGTGGCAGCTCCCTGGAGGGAGATCACCAGGAAATGGACCACAAGTGACACGTCAGAGTGCACTGTTAATTTTTCATTTGTCAAATCCAGTATTAGTCAGGCTCTACTACAGGTGTGGTCTATGTGTGCAGAAACATACTACTATAGTGTCATCCAGTATAATAAACATGATGCAGTAAAGCTGCTTCAGCTGGTCAGAGCACTCTGACAGGAAATACTAATTTTGCAGTTCAAAGATCTTCCTGTTGACAGTAATTTGATTAAAAATGAATAAATGTAAGAAAGTTGTTGATTCCAGTAAATAAAATCTGATTTAACGCAGTGGTCTGCTATTAAGAAATACAGAAGCATTTAAAAATATATATATTTAACCGAGCTGTCAGAGTTGAATATTAAACAAATCTATTTCCACCCCAGCACCTTGTTCACAGAGCTGCGGATTCTTCTGGAGCACTTCATCATGAAGCCCGCCTGCCCCGCCTTCTTCAGGAAGATGTGCCTCAGCAGTATCGCCTTCATCAGCCGCCTCGCCCCCACAGGTGTCTGATCACACTACATGAAAGATTTGTTTTCTTTATGTTTTGTTTTTTCCACCATTTAGGATGTGACTTAAACTTTGATGGGGACAGACATTGCCATCAACCGAAGGAACTGTTTTTTGAATGTCAACTTTACAGCCTGTGCTCCAGCTTCTCCGTATGTTTGAGTACAGGTGAAGAGCAGCCAGTAACGCACTGAAGTCTCATGGTGATATTTGTTTTCCCATCTTCTTAATGTGAAGCGGTGGACACCCCTCACTTTGTCCCGTTCACTGAATGCAGCACAGTAGACATCAACTGTGATCTGTATGTATCAGCTGTTATTATTTTTTTCCTCATATGTCCTTATTTATTCATGAAAATCTCTTATTCTGTGATGAAACATTAACATTTTGAGATTAGTAACTTAAATTAAAATATGCTTATACATGATTAATAATATTCTTTTTTTAAATGATCATGTTGTGCTTGGGTGGATGGAGGATGGGGTTTGTTCGCAGTTTCTACGTGGTCCAATTTATTTTTTATGTTCGACGCATCTGATGCTCTTATTTGTCTAAATGCCTAACTTTAAATGTATCTATCAATGCCATCAACCCTTTCTTTTAACAACTTGCAAAGTCTATGTAGGTATGATGTCAAAATGGGTGTTAAAATGAGAAACAAGAAATCTGCTGTATTTTATAGACTATTTTAAGGTACCAGACATTTTGCTGTAGAATTCATATTTGAAATGAGTTGCACAATGCCTGTCACGTTTCTGAATGCACCCTCACCTTGTTTCTCAGTTTGAAAGCTGTTTTGAATTTGGCCTCATTTATTTGTTGCGATGTAGTTTTTCTTGGTTGATGCATGCTCTGATTTTTTTTCTTGCCATGTTTAATGTGTTTATTTGCCTCCAGACAAACCACATTTTTATGACAAGAATAAAATGATCTCTTAATGAAACCAATAAAATATTAAAGAACAGGAATGTGGTTTGTGGATATAATTTGTTCAATTGCTGTAGTTGATGTCAACACATTGTAAAGTAATGAAACACATTTGGCCATCCATAGATATGATTACATTAATTTCTATGCTGACAAACAGTAAGTATTTTGACCAAGATATCTACTGAGAGGGGAGGTTTACTCTTTAACTTCAAAGTCTTACCCAAAAAATGTACAACTTAAATTGTTGTTACCAAAATCCAACTCAGTTGTCTTCATCAGCTGATAGATTTATTAAGTCAAAAGCTTTTCTTTCTTTCCTTTCTCTTTTTAACTTTAAGGCTAAGGGTTCTTGTGGTCATGGACAACCTGGAAAAGTCATGGAATCAGTAAAAATAATTGAAATTTCTGGGAAAAGTCATGAAAATTTGTTTAGTTTAATGAAATGATTACAGTTATCTTATGTGGATAACATTTTACGTAATGTAACATAACAGCAAATGTATTTTCTGGAGCTGAAAATGTGGCACAACTCTAATATGCGTTGATGTATTGATTACCATCACAAATGTTTCTATATATTCCCCCCTATCTGTTTCTCCAGCGAGCTGATGTTATGCTTGAATAGAGTTTGAATGTGAGATGTTTGAAACACGCCGGCCAAGTGTGGCAAGAAACAAAATTCCTTATTATGGGTCCATGAAAAGACATGGAAAAGTTTTGGCATTTTGCGGTGGTTCCAAACAGGTGGGTCATGGTCCAAAAGTGGGTCACAGGTCCACTCTGAATGGACCGCAAGTGACTCACAAACATGTCAAGTTTGTAAAAAACACTTTATTTGTAAGTACAGTACATTTCCGGCACAGAGCTTTTATTTTGACGTGCAATTTCTTGGTGTAGAGTGAGTGACTAACAGACAGCTACTTGACAGAGACAGCAAACTATCTTGACAATATGGCCAAACCCAAGTATGACGCTGAATGTATTACACTGTGGGACTTTGAACTAATGACTAAGGAGAAATCTGGACCCTGTGGCTGGCACTGTTAGTGTACCATTGAGAACAAATTCCAATACGCATGTATAGGTAGACCTAATACCAAGTACAATCTGATACAAGTCCACTTATATGATGCCCAGAATGCCCAGATGTGCCACTGTTAAGGTTTAAATTAGATTTGTTTTAGCTCTGAGATCATAGTTAGTGGTTGTGTCGTACTAGACTGCATTTTAATCAGAGGTCTTTCTCATGTATTTGAGTTGGGAGGACGGACAATTAAAAGCACCTGTTAATGAAATCCAGTACAACAACATCTTTAACTATGTTGACTGTTTATAAAGCATAAAGAATAAATTATCATCCACTTAGGTGTTTTACTTTGTTAGTTGACTTCATTTCAACACATTACCACAAGTTTTACTCTTCTTTTTGGATTTCATGGTCAATAAACCTCATTGCTATTAAATTATACCTATTTTTTAATTTAAAAAAGGCAGAAATTTTGAATTATTTTGACTGTAGCTGGAGGAACACATGTTGGTGGATTATCACAGACTGGTAGTCTTAGTCAGGATACTGTTTTTGCGGCCAGTTGTCATCCCTGGTTAGATTTTTTTTTATAAAACATTAAGTATGAATTATCGCCCAGTTGTTATGTGTTGCATCTTTTTAGCCAGCTTCTTCCAAACACTGTTTTTTAAATTTAATGTGTAATAAACCTCATTTACATGAATTTCTACCACTCAGAGTAAAATAAGCAGACGTTATCACATATGTCAGATATTAGCCAGGACATCCACAGGTCAGAGTTCAATGATGGAACTTTATTTAGAAACAACAGACCGTAAACAAAGAGGAACTTTTTTTCTTTTACAAAGCACAGACAACATTTATCTCTAAACTAAAAGATTTGGTTAAACTTTTTGCTTTAACTTTAACTAAGACAAAAAAAACTTCACAGAATACAAAAGCATAGAAAAACGTGTGTCTGTGTGTGTATATGTGTGTGTGTGTGTGAGTATGCCTTCATCTGCATAAGTGGCAGAGTGTAATGGTGTGTTTTTTGCAAATATTCACACAGCATTTTTGGCACCTGATGCTCGTTTTGTTGTCTTTCTTGGAGGGGCAGAATCGGCACCTCTTCCTTTTGGCCGATGGGCTGGGAGGAGGAGCTTTGATGGGGCTGGGGCGGGCAGCCTTGATGGGGCTGGGGCGGGCAGCCTTGGTGGGGCTGGGGCTGGGGGAAGCTCCTGCAGAGGTAGAGGATGCACCCCGCTGGACATCCAAAACCACGCTGACAGAGGCTGGGGTGCGGGGAAGAACCCGGCGTCGTTTTATGAGAGGCTCCACCAGTTCTCTCCCGAGCGCCTCGAGAAACAGCCTCCTCTTCTGAGACTTCCCCGGGTGCCATGCTGGGTTGATCTCTGTCCACAGTACGAAGGAGTTGTAGGCAGTCACATCGAGAATGTTGTGGAAGACCACCAGGGGCCAACGGGCTGTCATCCTTTTACAGCTGTACACAGCGGTAACCTGCAAACAAATCAATAAATCATTAGAAAATTTAATGTTGCATGAATGACAGTAAATGTTGCACGAAAAATAAGTGCAATACCTTGTCGAGATTGTCGACTCCTCCTTTGTTCTTGTTATAGTCCAGGATAATGTGGGGTTTCTTGTCCTCCCTGTTGCTGACAGCTGCGTCCTTGTGAAGGGTGCTCATCAGAAGCACATTCCTAGACCTCTTGGGAAGGTAGGACACAAGAGCATGTGTGTCAGTGAAGGCAAACCTGGAAGAGAACCGAGTCCTGCCTTTCGTCACCAGCAGTGCCATGGGAAGCTCAGCCTTGGTCTTCCTCACAGTTCCCACCATGGTCATCTTTCTCTTCAGCAGCTTCTGGCCGAGCGCATACGAGGTAAAGAAGTTGTCACATGTGATATTTCGTCCCTTGAGACCTTCTGTCATCTCCAGCACCACACGCATCCCCTGATTCTTCTCCGGTTGTCCATCAGCAGGTTTGCCAGTGTATACCTGCATGTTCAAGGCGTAGCTGCTCCTGGCATCACATGCTGTCCAGATCTTTATGCCATACTTCCCTGGTTTGCTCGGAATGTATTGCTTGAAGGCACAGCAGCCTCTGAAGGACACCAGGCGCTCGTCCACGGTCACATCAGCGCCTGCATTGTATATCAGCTGCAGGCGACACACCCACTTGTCCCACACATCTCTAATGGCTGCAAGTTTGTCCCATCCACGGCGTGCTTTCCTTGTCTCCCGATTATCAAACCGAATCACTCTTGAGATCGCGTAAAACATCTTGAGTGGCATGGTTGCACGAAAAATTGCTCTGCCATGCTGGGCATCCCACAAACTGGCCGAAGCTTCTTTACAGGATCTAAACACACCAGCAAGAATCAACAAACCGAAGTATGCCTGCAGGTCTACTCGGTCCAGGTCAGTCCACTTGGTGCCAAACACACGTCGCCCCTCCAGGTTGGTCATGTCCAGCACGATATTTTCAATGGACGGTGTTATAAACAGCTCAAATGCGGACTTTATTGTGTCGACACGTGACACTGCATAAAGTGTCGGACCTGGCTGACCTCTTAGTCTCTCTGCTCTGTGCATCCCCCGTTTAATAATGGGAGGCTCTGCAGACCACTCCATGTTTCCATCCTTTGATTTAAAGTTATCATTCGTAGGTTTCTCTCTTATATCTTCATCGCTCGGGTCCTCCTCTTCATCGGTGGACGCGTAATCCAGATCTTGCTCGGTGTTGTCCTCTTCCTCCGACACCTCTTCGTCTATTTCTGCAGGCTCCTTCTGATTACACTCTTCCTCAGCGAGGTTCCAGATCAATTCAAGAGAATCTGTTGCAGTGTCGTACTCCTCCATTGTGTTGTCTTTTCTGCACGATGATGATAAATGCAAAAAGACTTTAAAAAATGCCGCGAAAGCTGAGGAAGAGCCTGGCTACAGGAACCCAGAGGTTTTTTCTCCCAACTTTATTGAACACACGTAGCTATAGGACATAGGATCGGCTGTATAGAAACCGGAAGTTGTAAAAGAAAAACAGTCAGACTGAGATTGAAAGTTAAGGACCAAAAATAATATTCAAAACAAAACAGACAGCAATTTAAAATAAAAAAACATCTATCAATCTATCAAAAAGCATTTAAATATGGGATGATTTGGTATATATGAAATTTACCGAGCAGGATCGTGAGGATTATCCTAAAGGGAAGCTCCCGTGACGTCACGTCCACCTGGAGGAAAAACAATGCTTTCCCCTGGTGGAATTTTTCCATTGGCTTGTACTGTTAAGCAGTCGAGCCCCGTGCCGCATGTTCTCTGTGGGGGTTTCTTTTCCCAGGGAGTCCAAAGACCTGCAGGTTAGGTTAACTGGTGACTCTAAACTGCCCATAGGTGTGAAGCATGAATAGTGTCTGTCTCTATAGCCCCTGACAGGTTATGATATAGGCCTACGGAAATAATTGGATGAAGGATGATGATGCATAAACCAACACATTGTTGGTTAATTGATGAAATACTGAATTTTATATGCAAAGAGTGTAGTGTGGAACCATCCATGTTGTTTTGGGGCAAGCAGATGGAAGAAAAAAGCTTTCTGATGTAAAAAAAATTATGGAAACGTGTCAAATTTGACAAAGGTCAACAGGAAGGTTACACATACTGGTGTATGGTGGACTAATGAAAACAATATGAGAGATTTCAATTCAATTCAATGGGCTTCATTGGCATGACATCTGACATGTGTTGCCAACGTACTATTACAATTAAAGGACAGTGAATGAAATTAATAAATGCATGGAACTCCATGAAAAACAACATTAGTCAGTACAGTAAAATAGGTAGTTAAATTAGTCAACAAAATAGAATAATATATAGGCTGTATACAGTACTTATATAGACATACATATATACATATCTCAAATGTCTCAAATATGTTTACCTGAAGACACGTTTTGTGTCTCTAAGAACTATACTGATTTACTCAAGAACTTTAACTCATTCTTCCAGTCGTTCAAACTGGGCTTAGTCCAAGGCAACTATACAATAAAAAACGCTTCCTTGGTTTAGTCGTAGTATCTGCGTTTATGTGTGAGAAAACCTTCCCCAAGATCAAGACAACATTGAGAATACAGTCCAAGTTTCTTGTTTTTATCACAAACACCAAATTTGACGGAATTAACTGTCAAGGCTGACAAAACTCGTCAACTCCTGTTAAATCATTTTCACCGACTTTCCGAGTTGTTCTGACTTGAAGGAGCATTCACGTGAATTTTACTGTTAAAACTGTTTTTTTTTTCCGTCAATTCTGACACTACATGAACACGGTGGCAGCGTCTTTACGAGCTAACCAGTCAGGACACGGTTTAAATGTCCACAGTCAGAATCATCCAATGGCATCACAGCTTGTTGCGGCTGCAACGTTGCCAACGACAACGGGTACTGCGTTCATCTGTTGCTGAGTGTTTCAGAGACCTTGCCTAACGTTCACTAATATTCGCGTTAAAATAGTTTTTAATTCCGGTTTCACAACATAAACAGACGGATACTCACTTCCGGTGTTTTGACGTCGCTCTGTAGCTTTTGTTAAAGCGAAAAAGACATTTGGCGTGCGAATAAATCGTGTTAGCCAATTAGCTTGCTAGCTAACGTTAGCACGTAGAGCTAATCTCATTGCTTTAGATAATCCCAGTCTCTCTTCGCCTTTATTGTCGCCTTTAAATCGGAAGGAAAGTTGTGAACAGCAGAAAGTGGACTGTAACTAATGACCCCTGTAGTTTTGTGACCTGATAACCTACGTGGAGGAACTGCTCCATACTTTCCTCCTCTAAGAGAAGACACCCAGTGAAGACAGACGATGGAGATCCATCTTAATCGAGTGGATTATATTCAGGTAACACCAAGTACAGACGGTGGTGTGTTTGGTGTATGATGCTCTTTTATGTCTTTAATTCTGACATTGGATGTTGTTTATCAATTGTTGTTATAATACAGTTAAATTAGATTCAGTGTGATTGCCATGACACTGAGTACAGTTTAGCATCTAACCAGAAGTGCAAAAAGTAGTTGAGTAATGTACATACGCCTAGTGATAACACGAGTTATAAACAGGCTTGATAACAAGCAATAAAGGGTATATATGAATTCAATAGATACTTATCATAATGCATCTCTACCTGGTCACAAGCCCCTCAATCAGCTATTAAACCCATCATATAATTCTATAACCAGACAGTTAAGATTATGGACAAGACTCAATGAGGTGGCCCCATTGTCACATCTTGAAAAAACACATTATGTTAAGCTCTGAAAGCCTTATAAGCTATTCTAACTCAAAGTTTAATTTTATATGCTTACACGGCCATTCTCCTTCTCTGTTTAATATGTTACAAGACACCAGCACACTAGTAGAGACAACGCACTGATTTCAGCAGACCATAACTGTCACATTGCATTACACAACACGTAATTTGGACACCCAGTCTTCTTTGTTAAAGGAGCAAAACTATGGCACTGTCTACCAACTGAATTGAAAATGCAACACAATTTTCATGTTTTTAATAGAGGTATTAAATCATGGTTAAAAGAGGAAACACATTGATCTCACACTTAACATCAAAGTAGACACACCAGTGGTTTGTTTTTTGTATGGGTATATTTCTGTTCATGGATTTGGGGATGGGTTATGTGTGTTTATTTATGGATGTGTCCTTGTGGATATATTGTGGTATTTGTTAATGTATGTTGTGTATTGAATTGCCGATGTTTTTTATGTGTACGTTCTCGTCAATGCTTTTTCTTTTTTAATATTTTGATTTTAAAAAGCCTCCTGTGGACAGGTGATGCAAATTAGCTTTTTGCTACAAACATTAAATACAGCACCTCTGGTTCTTGTGCATAAATATACAATTCTAATGCTACTGTCATGTTCACATCAAATAAACTAAACTAGAAAACCCAGAAACTAAACTATAAGTAGTATGAACAGATACATGAGCAGATGTTATACACAATTAACAGCTGGATGATATGAACACAGTGTTACACTATAGATCTGACGTGCTGTATAGACAGTGGTCTAAATATGAATTATCTATAAGACACAGTGGACAGTAGTATGAACTGTATGTGTATGTTAGGGCCTAATTGACTCTGCTTTGTCCTCACAGGTTGGTGTGACATCCCAGAAAACAATGAGGCTGCTTCCAGCACTGGGAAAAAAGGCAACCCAAAAGGTAAAATCTGTCAGAGAAACGCCTGTGACTCATCAGGACTTATTAGAGTTTGATGCAGTGTGTTGTATTTTTAATTACATACTAAAGCATCATGGTTGTGTCTTTGTTTCAGGTTGCTGTTGCTGATCATGATGGTATACTGACATGTTTTGGGATGAAGAAGGGAGAAGCAGTGGTGAGTGTCCTCACCTTATCATACAGCCAGTTAGATCTCAGTGTGTTGAATTTCAGTTTCTAACAGAAGAAAGTTGACTCTTCTCTTTCAGCCCGTGTTTAAAACACTTCCCGGGCAGAAAATAGCCAGAATGGACCTTGGAGGAGCTGCAGGAACTCCTCAGGAGAAGATCTTCGTTTGCTCTGGTTCTCAGGTCCGAGGATTTACCAAGAAAGGCAAACAGTTCCTCACCTTTGACGCCAACCTTACTGAGAGCATTAACGCCATGTAGGAAACACATCTGATCTTTTCAGTTGGCTTACACTGCTTTATTGACTCATGCAGAACTGTGTGATTTTCACTGTGCAGAGTGATGTTGGTCATCTCTTTTCCAGGCACGTCTCAGGCGCTGACCTCTTTGTGTGTGCAAGTTACATCTACAACCATTACTGTGACTGCAAGGACCAAGACTACTACCTCTCCGGAGACAAAATCAATGACATCACATGTTTGTCCTCAGAAAACCTGACTCGCCTCGTCCCAGTCCTGGCCTGCCAAGATCGGGTTCTCAGAGTCCTGCAGGTAACAAAACTACTTATACTGTTCTGATATTGATACACTAAGTTGTTCTACCTCAAACAACCATGTTAGATTTATTACTCTATGGGTTATTTTGTGTGTGTGTGTGTGTGTGTGTGTGTGTGTGTGTGTGTGTGTGTGTGTAGGGGTCTGAGCTCGCCTATGACATTGAAGTCCCTGGCCCTCCATCTGTCTTGGAACAGTACACCAAAGATGGAGGCAAGTTTTGTGCTGTGTGTGCTGGGAACAATAAGACATGTGACTGCCTTATACAGCTCAGATCTGACATAACATCAGTGACTTCTTTACAGGAGAGGAGATCCTCTACGGAACAACAGATGGCAAAATAGGATTGGTCCAGATCGATGAGTCCTCAGCTGCGACCAAATGGGAGATTGACAATGACAAAAAGAAAGGAGGTATGTTGTGTACATGACCATGTGAAGGTTTTGCATGTTTAAACCAGTTGAATACAAATTAGTAATATATAAGTTCGCTACATCTTAGATTTACACTTGTCTGTCTCCCCTCAGGAATTCTTTGCATTGACACTCATGACATTATTGGAGACGGAGTGAACGACATCCTGGTGGGCAGGGATGACGGGACAGTTGAGGTCTATGGTTTCGACAGCACCAATGGGCCCACGTTACGCTTTGAGCATGTGAGTTTATGCCCAGCACAACTCACCAAATATGGAGAATCTACTATTCCGATTTATATCCCACTTGGCTCAATTGCTGTAAATTCCAATCAGATTACAATTTATATATTGTAATGTTTAGCCACAGATTCAAATATGAGTTTATTGATCATGCAGCCACACTCTGCTGCATTCATACTGTGCAGCTCCATCTTAGAAAATCCAAACCTGCTTTTTCATAATGAAGTCTATTCAAGCCAGTGTCTCTGAACATTATAAGAAAACAGTAGCTTACATTTTTATGCCTTTTGATAGTATTAGTTATATTCTTCCCTGTGGATTAATACATTACTGAAGTTTTCTGAGATGCCCAAGCCCATTGTGATTTTGTGTATTAAGCCCAGTTCAGACGAAATAATCAGGACAAGAAAAGTTGCAGCAGTGTGAACTGGCCGGTCGTAGAACGTTACAGAACGGCACATTGCAAGTAGTTGCCTGTTTCAACTCGTCTCGCTGCATATTTTGGTCTGAACGGGGCTTTAGAGGATTGATACTGATGACTGATGGTCAAAGTTTCCTGTCTTTTTTTGGCTTCAGGTGTTGTCAGAGAGCGTCACTTCAATCCAGGGTGGCTGTGTGGGGAAGGAATCTTATGATGAGGTCTTGACTGCTACTTACACAGGTTAGATGAAAAAATTAAAAACAGTGCATCTAGTGTTCCCACATTTTCTGTCAGAGAAGGAAATGTGTCTGTTATTCTGTCAAACCATCCATCTGTCTGCAGTACTTCATACTTGATTAGAGATGTATCGTTCTCTCTGGGACTGTCTCACATGTAGTATGGGTTACCACTGTCACTACCTTTTTCAGGATGGGTGACAGGTTTGACCACTGAGCCCCAGAAGGCTGAGGCCGGCCCTGGAGACGAGGTCAGGATGAGTAAGGAGACCCAGTCCAAAGTGGAGGCACTCAGGTACCAGCAAAAAGTGCTTCATTCCTCACTATACAGTTTGTACTTCTGCCTTTAATGTGATTGTCTTATTATGTAAGGCTGAGTGTCCATATAGAGGTTTTTTCTGAGTCCCAGCTTCTTTTTTCAAGTGTTTCTGTAGCGACTTCTTGATACTACCACAAGCCGCAGAGAGGCTGACACAGGGAACAATCAACACCTGTGTGATGCGCCATTCAAAATCAAGACAAATCGTATTGTTCCCCTTCAGGGCAGAGCTGGAGCAGCTGCAGGTCAAAGTCCTGCAGGGCCGTGAGCAGTACCAGCAGACCTCCCAGTCGAGCACAGCTGTCTCTGCTGTGCCCATCTTCAGCATCAATGACAAGTTCACCCTCTGCCAGGATGATGCCAGCTACAGCCTCACTCTGGAGGTGCAGACTGCCATCGACAATCTGCTGCTCCAGGTCAGCTCATTATTAAACCACCGCTGTTAGAGCCTCTGATGCCTGAAGTCTCTCCTAAAAATGAATAGATCATACTGTAAATCCCATTATGGAGACATGAACATTCAAAAATGTAACTTAAAAATAAATCTCCTGTGCAGAGTGACGTCCCCATAGACCTGCTGGATGTGGATAAGAATTCAGCTGTTGTCAGTTTCAGTGAATGTGATTCAGAGGTGAGCTGTGGGAACTCTTTCTTTTTCACAAAATGAATACACTTCACAAATGAAGTCATGAGTCTGCTGCTGCTCCCGGAGGTCTGACTCTCTTATTTTGTCTCCAGCAGCCTAATGGAAACTTCCTCCTAGCCACGTACAGATGCCAGGCTAACACTACAAGACTCGAGCTCAAGGTAACACCACACATTTACTCATACAACACCATTGTGGACCTTCCTTTGTGTAATTATGAGTAACAGAGAGCACTCGGCTGTTTCTTGTACCACTCGTCTTTTTCATTTCTTTGTGTTCGATGATGCACTGCAGGAAAATAATGTTTCATCCATAATGACTGTTGTCGTAGGTGAGATCCATCGAGGGACAGTATGGGACCCTGCAGGCTTACATTACCCCCAGACTGCAACCCAAGACATGCCAGGTCCGACAGTACCAGATCAAACCCCTGTCCCTCCACCAGCGGACACACAGCATTGACCAAGACAGGTGATGACTTCAGTTAGAAAATCTAAACTGGATTGAATCTAAATGTTAGAGGCCATACACATGCTGTATTTTTTGCACCCTGAATCAATGTAGAAGCGCGGCAGGTGCGCTCAAACGCCTGAGCGATGCTGTCGCAGCATGCATGTGTTCCTGAGCACCTATTTTTCTGGGCGCAACAGCTGTGCCCTGAGATAAACTGAGTTCAACCACTGGAACGCAGTAGTGTGCACTGCATGTCATGTGACAAGGACCAACCAATCACGGCTGGTAGATTTCTTTCCCTGCTTCCATAAATATCAGTCTGTGATAAATATGGAGGAGAAGTTGCTCATGTTAGTGCAGGGCTGCAGAGCTTTACATCTGTCCCACAGACAACAGGTCTACACATAATGTGCCGGGAAGAAGATCAGCTCTGCACTCAGAATTTCAGGTTGATAGTCTATGATACAGTGCATGTTCAGGGTGCTTATCAACCTCGGATGCAACCTGTTGCTGAACTCTTTAAAGCTGGCACAGAAAAGACAAAAGAGAAGCACCCAGCGTGTGATCTTGCATTTTCCAGGTGGTTAAAGATGCAGCATGTGTACGGGAACTTAAATTGACAAGCTACGGACATGGATTCACATTGGATTAAGATCACAGGTGACATTTGCAATTACTACAAATTGCTAGAACTCCCCAGGTAATACTAGGCCTGTGCGAACAGGGCTTTAGTCTAATTGTAGGCATTATAATATAAACAGCCAATATCACATAAAGTTATACTAAGAATAGTATTTAATTGTTACATTTTATTAAAGAAAACCTTAAAAACACCGCCCCACACCAAAAGCTGGATTAGTCATCCCAGTAAAGATCCATCTTTAAAAGACTCCTCTAAAATATTAATGCCAACAGGTTGCTGAGAAGTTTTGTTTTGAACGATTTGTCATAAAAATGCAATCATGTGGTTTTATCTACTCATGATTATGATTTTACAGACCATCTTTGTCTCTTACTTTGTCTCTCTGTCTGTCCTGCAGGCCCATGAACAGGCTCAGTCTGGTGGGACAGTTCAGTTTTGCTGAGATTCACTCCTGGGTGGTTTTCTGTTTGCCAGAGGTGCCTGAGAAAACACCAGCAGGAGAGAGCATCACTTTCTATTTCCACAACACTTTTCTTGGGACACAGCTTGAAGCCACCTACTGGTAAATACAGGCACATAATAGAAAGGCTCTTCTAGGATTACATATACATCTGTAGAAATTATGAGATAACTGACAACTGTTGTTTTGTTTTGTTTTGTTTCATTTTGTTTTGTAATTTTAGCAAAGGGGAGGGTCACTTCAGGTCAGACAACATCTCTACCATCTCCATACTGAGTGATGTTCTCTCTAAAGAAGCCACCAAGAGGAAAATCAACCTGAACATTTCGTATGGTGGGTGGATTATCACTATCACAAGTAAATTAAATCCCATCCTTCTCCTGGATGATGGTCGCTGCAGGACTTATTTTAGGACGAGTTGGGGACAGTTTGACAATCTGCCATCAGAAAAACAGGAGGTGCTCAGCAAAGCAAAAGCAACGAGCAAAACGCCTCACTGTCATTGAAAAGCATTAATAATAATAACTTTATTTATATAGCAGAGTTTACAAAGTGCTTTGACAAACAAAGCAAAAAGCGGAAAACTCAGGGGCGAATAACAGGAAAAAGTCAGGCAAAACAGAAGCAAGATCAAATTGGATAAAACGAGAAAAATAGAGGGCAAAGCCATGAAAATTAATTTAACACACAAATGTCACGGTAAAGGCAAATGAGAGTAAGACCAAAAGGATGACATATATAAATGAATAAATAAATACAAATAAAAGAATAACGATGAGAAGGACAAAAAGATAGACTCATTAAGATAAATAAATAAATAAAATAACAGAAAAGAAATGAGGTTTAAAATCTAAAATCTAAAATAAACGACATCACATAAAGGCAAGTCTTTAAAAGTGAGTTTTAAGAAGTGATTTAAAAGAAGTTACTGAATCTGTGAGCCTTATCTCCTCAGGCAGGTTGTTCCAAAGGGGCCCTGATGGCAAAAGCACGGTCACCTTTAGATTTCAGCCTCAACTTTGGAACGGCCAAGAGTCCCCCACCAGGGGATCTAAGGCTGCGAGCTGGCTCATATGAGGTCAACATTTCTGATATGTAGCTAGGGGCCAGACCCAGGCGATCTTACAATAATCAAATCTTGAGAAAATGAATGCATGAATGACTTTTTCCAGGTCTGAGGTCTGGCATTACAATAAGCCGCCCCAGGCTGCTAAAACGCACTCAGTCTAAGTGGGGCTTGTTTTGTTTATCTCCCAGATATTGATGATGACTCTGTGAGCCACACTCTGAAGATGATCCATCCAAAGCTGGAGTACCAGCTGTTGTTGGCTAGAAAAGTTCAGCTTATTGACGCACTTAAAGTAAGTATCACTTAATCGTGTCCACTCAGAAACTGAATCGTCTTTGTTTCCCACAAGCTGCCTTTTGTTTAACGCTGCAGGTTCTCAGTCATTATCTCTGGGCTGTTGAAAGGCTTTTTGGGAAGTTCATATGTTCTTCACTTACTTACCTCCACCCCCACCTCCTCTCTGATTTTTGTGATTGGTAGGAGCTTCAGGTTCACGAGGGGAACGCTGACTTCCTCATCCCGGAGTATCGTGACATCTTGGATGACTCCACTAATCTCCTCGAGGAGTACAAGAAGCAGCCAGCGCATCTTGAGAGGCTTTATGGTGCTGTATTATCACTGCGTTACCATAGCTTTTATCTGATTTTCCTTCCTCTTCTCTATGTATCTTTATTCATTTTTTATCTTTGTCATTCATTGCTCAAGTCGTGAGACAGGAGCTCTGTTACCCAAAAGTACTGTTTTTCTTTATGAGCCTGACTTTATAAAGTAGAGCTTGTTGTCTGGTGGTGAGTAATATTACTTTGTCTCTCCTGTAGGAATGATCACAGACCTCTTCATCGACAAATTCAAGTTCAAAGGCCAGAATGTGAAAACAAAGGTGTCCTCGCTGCTGGAGATACTTGATAATTATGACTTAAATTCTCTGTTAGACTTTTTCAACGAGGCGTGAGATCACATGTAGATCAGAGGGTGTTTATTTAATGTCTTTGAGCGTCTCTATCTGTGCTATTTTTGTATTGTAAATACAAAGGTTTTGTTTTACGATAGTCTGTAGCAGTGTCAGTGTCATGTTGTCATTTAGATACTGTTTGCCCTAATTATGGTGTATAATATATTTAATATTTATAATGTATTTTGATAGCATTAAAAGGTGATAATTAATAAACCACTTCAAAGTTGCAAAATTTCAGTGACCAAATAAACCAGTTCCACAGAATGTGTGTTTTTATATGATATCTGTCATAGCACAGTGAGACCCTCCACTTGAAATAAAGATTAGAGCTTATTTATAACCATTGTAAGATTTGTCATTCAAGGGGCTGATGCAAAGTGTAGTGAACAAATATGACTGAGAATATTAAATTCTACTGAAAGGAAAAGCTCCGATGATACCACAAGCCATACGTGACAAATGTTGAGTTTTTTATTTTATGTGTTTTAACAGAACATGCTCAAGTTGTCTGCAATCGTTTGATTGGTAAATTTAAGTCAATACTATGCTTGTTTTCTTTGTATTTTTATCCTCTTGACACTTAATTGAAGCACCAAAAATAAGTTGGCACAGCAACTGCATTTTCTTAAGTACTCTATTTGAGTATTTGATGCAGTGTCAAAGATTAAACCACCGAACACTTTACAAGGTGGGCAAAATGATCCCCACCTCAACCAACACTTAACATTAAAATGCTAATAATATATAATAATATATCAGAGGTTATGCTGCATAATAAGCATTTTAAATGCATTTTGGTTATAATTCTTTGCTATATTTAAGTGATATTTTGAATATAGGACTTCTGTGTGTATTATTATGTTGTAGTATTTCTACTTTTACCAAAGAAGGGGATGTAAGGAGCTGAATTGTTCTATGCTGACAAAATATGAATTGACTGCATTTATTAGTCAAATAACTACCAAATATCCAAAAATATTTCAGAGAGTATGTTGCATTGCTAATAATGTTTTTCATCTATGGCTGGAGCTAATTAAATAACCAAACAGATGTGTTTGTACTGTCTGCATCTGTGAAGTAAACCAGTGGTGAAATCTAATTACATTTACTCAAGTACTGTATTTGATTACAAATTTGAGGTATCCATTTTATGCAACTTTATACTTCCATTTTGGAAGCCAATGTTGTCATTTTTATTAGTTACTCTACAGATTTAGATTATTAATACAAAATATAAAACAATTCATAAATGATGATGTATTATTATAGATTAAGACACCCAGCAGTATATAAAGTAATTTAGATTAGCTCTGCCTTTACCAGCTGCAACATTAAAGTGATGTAGAGGAAGCAAATGATCTGAAATCTTGTTCCACCACTGACAAAAGATGAAAAGACTATAACTACCAAATAACCACAAATATTTAAGCGAGTATGATGTGTTGCTAATAATGTTTTTCTGTTGAATCATCTGTGGCTGGAGCCAATTAAATTACCAAACAGATGTGTTTGTATTGTCTGCATCTGTGACGTAAACCAGTGGTGAAATGTAGGTAAGTACATTTACTCAAGTACTGCATCTAAGTGCCATTTTGAGGAACTTTTCATTTTATGCAACTTTAAACTTCTACTCATCTACATTTTGGAAGCCAGTACTGTGGGGTTAGTAGCTCGGGTTTTAAAAGATCTGGGGAGAGCTGCACTCTCCTACTCTGCACCTTGGACATGAACAATCTCCAAAAAGATCCAAAATTAAATAATTTATTTCCACTGATGATTTTAAGGGCATCATAAAGAATGTGGTGATAGAGACATGTGCTTGATTTTCTTGAGAGGCCACTATGTTTGAATAGTTGTGGTTTTAGTGTGGATTTTTGTGGTCACAATGGGACTTCCTGGTTAAATAAATAAAATTAATAAAAACTGTACTTTTTGCTCCACTACTATTTATAGTTACCTTTCATATTCAGATTATTAATACAAAATATAAATCAACTAATAAATTCTAATGTATTATTACAGATTAAGACACCCAGCAGCATATAAAGTAATTTAAATGAGCTCTAACTTTATTAGCTGCAACATTAAAGTGATGAGCCTACACAATAATGCAGTACTTTTACATTTTTACATTTTAAGTATTTATTGCTGCTAATACTTAGTTTGAGTGCAGTACTTTTACTCGTTGTTACAACTAATACTTAAGTAAAAGCACTGAGTGCTCGACATCATCCCCGAGCAGCTGTTCCTCCCAAACCTTTGTCCATACGCGACTATATGTTTAAATGTGTCAAACCGGTTTTGAATTTGCAATCAAGCCAAGATTGCGCTCTTCCGGCTCCCGTACAACTGATGCGTCACCGCCGGTGGAGCCTGTGATTGGTCCATTTCAATCCTCGCGGGCTACTTGAACTGAGAGAAAGCAACATCTTGATCTCTGCATGTTTCTGTGTAAATGGACCGAGGCTAGCTGGCTTGCGTGCAGGTTGGTAGTAAACTCCGCAACTCACGAGTATGGCGACTTAATAACACCTTTAACCTTTCTGTAGATTTATACCGCCATCTTTGCTTTTGTGTTTGTCTGCTGTTTATTTTAGTACCGCAGTTCCAAGAGTCGTTGCCATCTCAACTGCTTAGCTTTGACTGTAAGCGATTCCTCCTCAGCAAGCTAGCCGCTAATGCTAGCCTCCATATAAACGTCCATAACTTATGTGATCATTTCAAACTCGTCTTTAATATATCTTGTTTGCACGAGAGCGCACTCGAGCTGTAGTGTCCAAGTAGAGCGAGAGAAGACGGGTTTTTGTGTGTGTGAGGGGAAACATGTCAGGAGCTAACAGAGGACAGGGAAGCGCGGCTAGTGAGATTCACAACCAAGAGAATATGCTGTCAAGACTGAGAGGCTCGCTGAAAGCCCGAGCTGCTGCTGCTTCAAACGAGAACCAAGAAAACCTTCCACCGAAACAAGCGGCCAACAGAACCGTCCTGGGAGCCCTGCAGACCAACCAGCGGAGCAAAACCCAGAACCAGCGCGGCACCAAGCAGGTCAGTTACATAGCTCGGCTAGCTCGAGCTAGTGTTTGCTAACGATGACTGTAACGAAGCTGGGTGCTATTGTAGTTTTTGGAGGCAACTCCTTTCAGCTACCTTGTTGCCAGCTAACGTAACTCTCATGTCGGTACTCACTGCCATTGATAACCTTCTTTATTAATGTTTTAAAACTTGCCTATGTATTTAAATGTAGCTATAAATGTAGCTACCTCTGTTACCCAGATTGTCCGCCATTTTAATATCACCATCAGTGCTACACTTTATACATTCACTGCAGTATTCAGCGGCTTTAAACACTCCAGACATGTGTAGTGATTTATTGTTTTAATTTTCTGCTTTGTGCATGTGTTCTCCCGCCTTCCCTAGTGACAGACACAATTTAGGTATTGCATCAAACACCCAAAACTACTGACATCTTAAATGCAGGTTTCTAAAATGGAATGCAAACAGATTAAAGTGTTAAATGTAACTCTCGCGCCTTAATTACTTTTAATACAAAATAAACTGCCTCTTTGTTTCCCCACAAGGTACCACTTTGCTCTATCCCCATGCTTAGTTTCTTGAACACATGAACATTTAATTGTATTGTTTGTGTAATATTGGGAACTATAATTGTCATATGGGGTGTTTTCTTTTTGCTTTACTGCAAAACAAATGAATAGACCCTGTTTTCTGCTTCCAGGAGTCATCGCAGCCCCTGTCCTGCAAAAATGAAGATTTTGGCAGAACCTGCTCAGAGAAACCCTCAGCCAAGCAGCCCTCGTTCCAGATCCACGTGGACGAGCCCGATGGAGCCTGCACCAAGAAGCCACAGCAGGTGGTCGAAGCTGTCAAATCCAAGCCCATCCCTGAAGATTCTCCCCTCACAATCAATGCTGTGGCACGGCTCCGACAGCCCCTGGCCACCATCGACATGCCATCAGCAATGGATGTCAGCTTTGGTGGGTTGTGAATACGTGATTCATAACACAAAAAATGACAAATGGCCTTTTTAATTTTGTTAATTTACAATCTCAAGCTTTTATTCTTTCTAGAAACTGTAGATGAAGACTATAATTTCTTTAATGAGGTAACTGTGCTAAATAACCTTTTGTTGCTCAGACTCTCCCATGGACATGTCTGTGGTTGAAGGAGAGGAAAAACAAGTCAATGTAAATGAGGTCCCAGAATATGCTGCTGAAATCCACGCCTACCTGAAGGAGATGGAGGTGAGAAATTCAGTGAAATACTAACTGCACCTTGCCTCTAAAAATCTTTCAGCTGTGTCATGCAGGTTATAACATTACTTCATATTGGCTTTTTAGAAATGCATTAATCTGAATGTTGTCTGCATGTAGATTTCTTCAGTAACGTACTTTTGATGGGCCACAGGTAAAAACCAGGCCGAAAGCAGGCTACATGAAGAAGCAGCCTGACATCACCAACAGCATGAGGGCCATCCTGGTGGACTGGCTGGTTGAGGTCGGAGAAGAGTACAAGCTCCAGAATGAGACACTTTATCTGGCTGTAAACTACATCGATCGCTTCCTCTCTTCCATGTCTGTCCTGAGGGGGAAGCTTCAGCTGGTCGGGACTGCTGCCATGCTGTTGGCTTCGTATGTAGCCAAGATTTATATTCAGTCTGTTCAGCTTATAATGCATATGTTAGAACCTGCCTTTCCTTCTGTGTAAACTGACCATTTAAATGTTCACATGCAGGAAATTTGAAGAGATCTACCCCCCTGAGGTGGCAGAGTTTGTTTACATCACAGACGACACCTACACCAAGAAGCAAGTGTTGAGAATGGAGCATCTGGTGCTTAAAGTGCTCTCCTTTGATCTGGCAGCACCAACCATTAACCAGTTTCTCACCCAGTACTTCCTCCACCATTCGGTTAACAAACAGGTGGAGAGCCTGGCAATGGTGAGCTTGTAGGACAGTGTTTATACATTTGGTTATGCCATGTGGACACTTGTATCAAAACATTTTATGGCAAAGATCTATAACTAATCTTTTTTTTTTTTTTTTTTTTTTTTTTTTTAAAGTACCTTGGGGAGCTCAGTCTTGTTGATTCAGATCCCTTTTTGAAGTACCTCCCATCACAGACAGCTGCAGCGGCCTACGTCTTGGCCAACAACACAGTGACTGGTGGCTCATGGGTAAGTCTGAGGGGGAATAGACCTGAAATTGAGCCATTTTGCATTTTAAATATCCAATGTTTGTGCAAGCTTCT